GTGGTGTATTTCCTGAGCTCTGTCTCCCCCTCTTGGCTGTGGGAATGACCAGCAGAGCTGGCGGGCACAGCCAGGTGGGTGCTGAGATTCAAGGGGCACACGTGGGCAGGGCCTGGTCTCTCCCCAGCACCTCCACACCATCCCTCCTGAGCCCTTGGGCGAACTTCTGAACCCACAGCCTTCACCTGAGCTTTGAGGCCTCTGGAGAAACTCACTTTTTACAGCACAGCCTCAGGCAGGCAGTAGCTGCTGGCAGCTGGGAGCCCTGAGCAGCACTCTCCCCTTGGATTTATGGGGACACTAAAGTGGTCATGCAGCAAGTAGGTCTGCGGCAAAGCCAAGATAGGCCTAGAACTATTTTTTTTTTCTTTTTTTTAGGCCTAGAACTATTAAGATTCCCAGCTTGGAACTGATTCTGCCATGGCCCAAGCCCTGTTCCATTCCTGAGAGCCCTGTCCTGCAAGATGCCTCCTCTAGGAAGCCTTCCCAGGTCTCCTCACCTCTAGGCCCTCCCTGCCACCCATCATAATACTCTGCCTACTCCATCAGTTTCTCCCTGCCCTCCCAGGATCTGGAATCAATCGAGTCAGTGGCCAGCAGGGAGAAAGTGATGGATGTCGGTCCCTCCCTCGGCCGACTGACTGGTTGTCCCTGCTGTCAGTTAGCTTTTGCTACCCTCTGCTCTTGTCTAACGTGAACCCTCCAAGATGTAGAGGCCTCTTTTGCTCCTGCCTCCTCTGCAGCTGTGAAATTCCCAGATGACAGCAGCAAAGAGTGCCCTGGATGGCAGGCGTGGGGTTTAGAGGCTGGGGATAAGGTGGCCTCAAGTGCCAAGTTCAGGTCCTCTTGCTTTTGGGTAGCTCACATCCCTTCTCTTAGCCTCAGTTTCTTTAACTGGGAAATGGAACAATAACTTCCATCTCCAGAGTAATTCTGAAACTAACAGACACCAAGGTGCTTCATAAAGCTCTGTAACAGGAGAGGGCTCAGATACAATTTGCATCATCTGAGCACCTATTACAGAGCAAGCACTTGCCCTGATCACTCTCTCCTCAGCGAAACTAAAACTGACATGGTTAGTACTTCCATTTTACCCCCAGGGAGGAGATGCTCCACGGTTATGTAATTTAACAAGATTACAGAGCCCTGCAGCTGGAACTCAGGTCAAACTCCATCCACCGCCCATTCTCTCCGCACACCTGCCTTCAATCTGCCGCCAGAAACGCCTGTTCCAACTCTCGGGGGGCGGGGAGCAGGGGGATGGCAGTCTTTGTCCCCAACTCTCCCACCTCACTCCAATGGCGGGTGGGGAAAATGACAGGAGTCATGGAGGCTGGTTCAGGAAGGCTAGGGTTGGGCGTCGGGGCCCAGGATTGCACCCGTGACTCCTCGAGCCACAGTGTCCTCATCTGTCCAACCGGACCCCACTTCTGCCCCTCACAGCGTGGCAGCTACAAGAAAGCTGCAAGAAATACCAGATGTGGCCATGAAGACATGCAGGGCTGTTGCTGGGTGGGGACCGCCCGCACATCCCTCCAGTCCCCCTCCTATCGCCTGGAGACGCCCCTTCCCCAGCCCTCACCCCAAGGCATGGAGCTGAAAGCGCGGGCCGCCCCCCAGCTGTTTCCCCGCGCTCACCGGGGGTCCGGCTGCCGTCGCTGAGCGGGTGCCACGGGTCGCGGTCGGTGGCCACCAGCAGACAGTCGGGGTCGCGCAAGTGCGCGCAGGCCTCGCTCAGCTTGGCGAAGGAGAAGTGCTCGTCGTAGCCCACAAGCACGGCGCGCACGCGCGGGGCCGCGCCCGGGTCCTCGCTGGGGTCCCCCGCCAAGCGCAGCCCGGCGGCGCGCAGCTCGGCCCGCAGCCCTTCACCGCCCAGCACGAACACCGCGCCCTGAGTGTCCGGGGGTCCGAGAAGGCGCTGGCGCAGCAAGCGCGCGGCGCACAGCGCGGAGCTGAAGAGCTGCTCGGAGCGCAGCCCCCTGAAGCCGAGACGTGCGAAGCGGAGGGCCAGCTCTGGCCGCGCGCGCCGGCTGTTGTTGCTTACGAAGAGCGCCGCCTTGCCAGCCCGAGCCAGTCTCTCCAGCAGCTCGGGGGCGCCCGGCACTGCGCGCTCGCCGTTCCACAGCACCCCGTCGCAGTCGAACAGTACCCCCTGCGCCCGGCCCACTACGTCGCGCAGGGCCGCGCCGCGAAGCCTTTCGCAGCGCGCCATGCAGCCGCCTGGCTGCCCGCACACCGGAGCCGCGCCGCTCTCTTCCCGCGGGCACAGCGCGCTCGCACGCAGAAGGCCTCTCGCGGGCACCCACCAATCGGCGTGCCGGAAGGGCCAGGGGGCGGGGCCACGGCCTGACCTGCAGCCAATGGGAGGGAGAGTCTCGGAGAGGAGCGGCGAGGGCGCTGCGAGCACCTCCTGTAGGAGCCTGGAGAAAAGGGCGGAATCTCGAGCTCCACCGAGGGAAGGGGGACCAATGAAGACCTAGCCTGGTCCTTCGTCCCGCCTCTTAGCTCCTCTGGACCAGTAGCCGCAGAGCTTCAGCCCCGACTCGCCGCCTGCCGGGAGAGGGACTGACCTTTTTGACCAATAAGGAGTTACGAATAGAAAAATAAGGCCCGCTCGTCGTTTCCCAGCCAATCACAAGCTTAAGACAGATGGTTGCTAGGGGGGAAACAAATGCTAAAGATGTTATCTTTGGGTCAAATCTCACTGCTTTCCGAACCCTAGACTCTCCGGTTCCGAGCGGAGTCCTGGGAAGAAGTCCTGGGATGCAGATTGTGGTTGTGATTGGGGAGAGAGGCACATGCTGTCCCCTCCGACGCTGGAGCCCTTGGCCTAGACCAGTGGTTTCCCACCCTGTCTGCGCATAGAGTTCCCAAGAAAACGGATTTTTTAAATTATTATATAATTTACATACAGTAAGATGTGTGGATCTTAAGTGTATAGTTCGATGACTTTTGATAAACGTTTTTTTAAAACGTGTGATAGGGGAGGGGGGACCGGGATGGGGAATACATGTAAATCCATGGCTAATTCATTTCAATGTATGACAAAAACCACTGCCATGTTGTAAAGTAATTAGCCTTCAACTAATAAAAATAAATGGAAAAAAAAACCCTGTTTACTCAACAGTAAATTGAGGATATTGGACTAGAGATGGACTAGAGAATTATTTCTCATGTAGATTTAAAACATTACAGTCTTTGTTCTAGTTTTAAAGTGTTTTTTTTTTTTTAATGAGAATCTTCATGATGTTTTAATTTTCACCAAGGGGGGACCGGGATGGGGAATACATGTAAATCCATGGCTAATTCATTTCAATGTATGACAAAAACCACTGCCATGTTGTAAAGTAATTAGCCTCCAACTAATAAAAACAAATAGGAAAATAAAATAAAACGTGTGATAGGACCCCAGAAATTCTGATTTTAATTCCTTTGGGTGAGCTCTGGCTTTTTTTGATTTGTTTTTTAATCACCCAGGGATTCTACTGTGAGGCCAGAATGGAGAGGCACTGGGCTAGAGGCAGCTTGGTCCCTACTTGGTGAGGAATGTGTCACAATTCTAAGGCTGTATGCCAACCTCTGAGAAGACTCTGAAGACTGGTCTGACCCCCAGGAGCAACTGGAGCTTCAAAGACCCGAGAAAAGGCACACCATCAGCCTCCGGGGCTTGTATTTTCTGTTTTTCATTGCCCTGGGCTTTTGCTCCTGACCTTTGCATAGGTGGTCTCCTTCATTTGAAATATTCTTCCTTCTTCCTCTACCTGGCCAGCTCCTGAAAGACTGCCCCCTCCAAGAAGCCATCCTGACATCCACCCTAGACACACACACGGCCAGTGTGGGTTAAATGGCTTACTCCTAAGTGGGCTCTCATGGGCTCCTGGTGCCATGACACTTGATTTTTTTTTTTTTTTTGCCCTGCCACACAACTTTCAGGATCTTAGTTCCCCGACCAGGGATGGAAACTGCACCCTTGGCAGTGAGGTCGGAACCCTGACCACTGGACCAGGAAACGGCCATGACACATGATTCTAATTGTCAGTTCTCCTGCCCGTTCCCAGGAGCTCCCTGGGCATAGGGCTGAGTTGGGACCNGGATCTTAGTTCCCCGACCAGGGATGGAAACTGCACCCTTGGCAGTGAGGTCGGAACCCTGACCACTGGACCAGGAAACGGCCATGACACATGATTCTAATTGTCAGTTCTCCTGCCCGTTCCCAGGAGCTCCCTGGGCATAGGGCTGAGTTGGGACCTAGCTCAGAGTCTGGCACAGAGCATGGTCAGGGAATGTTTGAAGACAGGTTCATCCTTGCTCCCCAGGGAGCCTTCCCTGGGAACAGAGACCACTACAGGTGCGGGAAAACAGCAACGGCAGCCATGACTTACAGGGCACTTCTGTGTGCAAAGGCAGTGCTTTGGTCTTTACAAGTGTCTCATTTAATCCTCACAACAACATTTCTGTGGTGGAAGTTGTTAAAGTGATTTCACATATGAAGAAAAGGAAACTCCAATTGCTCAGGATATGAGGGACAGGCTCTGGAATCAAGCAGACCTGGGCCAGGTCTATGCCTCACTTGCCATGTGACCTTGGTCACGTTCTTTCATTCTCCTCACCTGTAAGAGGTAATGGGATTTACTTCCCTGAAAGAGGATTAGATGGAACTCATGATAGAAAAGAACAATGTGTAGCAAAGAGTAAGCACTAAAAATGTTGGCTGTTACTATTTCAGACAAAAAAGAAAGGAGGCAAAGAATAAGTAATTTTTTCCCCTTTTATCAAAGTGGCTTCTTTATTTCAAGGACAGAAAATAAAACTATCATTTGGGTAGCTGCTCCAGTTTTGTCCAAAATAATTTATTTGCCAGCCTTACAAAAAAAAACCAATATGTTGGCAAGAGAAAAAAAAAATGTCCTGTGGGAGCAGGCAAGCCTCTGCTTCCTTCCGGAGGCTCCCCTGGGACCCTGCCAGAGAGCAGGGAGGTGGCTGAGGGGCCCCTGAGGCCCAGGGTGATCCAAGAGGAAAAGGTCTGGAAGTGGAGGACTGTCCTGAGTCCTTCTTGCCGTGGGGGCCGACCCAGCGGGCACCAAGGCACTTTAGGCAAAGGCTGGAGGCCCCCCCCCTTGGGAGGGTGAGGGCTGTGTCCTGGGAGGATGAGGTGGAAGGGAAGGGGTGCTGAGGGGTGTCGTGGGGGAGCTGTGGGCTCAGTTGGTCTCTGAGGCGAGGCTCCTGGGCCGGGCCTGAGGGGGGATGACTGGGGCAGTGGGGGCCCTGCTTGCAGCCTCAGGGGCCTCGCCCTCCTCAGGGGCCACCCCCAGGTCCACATGTGCAGGCGAGCTCAGACTGACCGGGCTGAGAGAGGCCGGACCTGGAGAGGCCGGGCTGGGGGAAGCTGGTGAGCGCCGGCTCTGACGCTGGGAAGGCTGGGGGGCAGTGGGAGGCAACGGGGGTGGCACCGTGGGGGCCCGGAGGCTGCTGCCAACCAGACGGCGGGGCAGCGCCCGAGGTGTCACAGGGCTGCCAGAGCCAGGAGGCAAGGGTGGCGCTGGAGGGGAGCTGCGGGTGCCAGAGACCTGGGGGGGCGGCATGGTGGGCCTGGCGGGTGCTGGGCGCTTGGCTGTGGAGGAAGGAAAGGGGTGGTTAGGCGTCTATACTGCCTGGGGCAAACCCCCAAGCTTGATGCCACTGCAAGAACTTTTATCTGCTGTCACTTCTGCCGGGAACAGGGTCCACACTGGCTGCTCATCATTCAGGCCTCTGTCCACGTCTGTCCTCAGCTTGAGGGCCCCTCCCCGACCCGGCCCCAGTTACTGTCATGTCTTCCAGTCATATTTTCTTCATGGGGGACTTCATGTCCTCTAAAATGATCTTGTCAGTTTTAATTCTGCTCCCTTCCTTCTTGTCTCCCTGACTAGAACGCAAACTAAGTGAGGCCATCTTCTGTCCAGCTGGCTGGCACAGCGCATGGGTGACACAGAGTAGGCGCTCAGTACCTATTTGCTGAATAAAGAAATGCCACCTGTCCCACTGGCCAGCTGGGTCCTCCTCACTCCCCGCTCAGAAACAGGGCTTCTGAGCCCTGCTCAGAAGTGGGGGTAGGGCTGCCCCACCTCAGAGTTGTCTTCATGGTCCAACCTTGCAAGGCAGCCAAGGGGCTGGGTGGGGCCAGGACAGCTAGGCTCTGCTCCAAGCTCTGCCTCTACCCACCGGGGGACTTGCCCCCTGGAGCCTCAGTTTCTTCATCGCTGAGATGGAGTGACAGCTTTGACTTCCCAGGGCTGCCGTGAGGATGAGCCCAGGTGATGCTATGACAGTCCTTTATCTTTTCCTCTGGTGAGCTAACATCCCATCTGTCCCCACCCCTTCCAGGAAAAGTGGCTAGAAGCCCCCTCCTGTAAGAAGGTCCCTGTGTGACCTGCTAGCTCCAGCCGGTCCAGAGCTTCCTGCTCCATCCACTGCCATCCAGGTAGAAAACTCTAGCGTCTCCTGGGCCGGACCTTTCAAGTGTCCTAGTCACCCTGGCAGATTCTCCACTTGAACCCCTGACCTTCTCACCTGCCTAAATTTAGGCCACTTCAACATGTAATTGCACCAAAGAGGCACAGAAGGAGACCACCTAACCACCACCACTGCCACCCCTTCATTCACTGTGCTTTGAAGACCCCACTTCCCTCTGCACTCTGTGATCCCAGGGCTTCTTGAGGGACTGGACTCCACTGCCCTCAACACTCACAGTCACTACTTATGGAGCATTTACTGGGTGCTGAGTATGGGCCAGGCAGCCCCATTTAATTCTCTAAATAGCTTCAAGGTAGGTGCGGTTATTGTTCCATTACACAGAGGAAGAAGCTGAGGCACAAACAGGTGAAGTCACCTGTTCAAGGTCACAGAGCTGGAATCTGATCCCAGAGTGTCAGGCAGCAAACCCAGGCCCTTAGCCCCCTGGATTCCATGCCTCCCCTGGCTGTCTGAGAATATGGGACAGTATGAGATTGTTGATCCCTCTCCCTGCCCACCCTTTGCCCCTTCTCCTCCCATGGCCAACTCACTCCTCCGAGCCATCTCCTCTGCTGGGGCGGCCGCCTCTGGGGGGCTCCGACTGACCTTGGGGGAGGTTGGTCTGTGGGGCATCTCGGACTCTGCCCTGCGAGGGAAGGAGAGGGTCAGGGTCAGCCATGGCATCTCCCAGAGGTCTCCAGGCATCCAGGGGTGTCTCCCAGCCAACAGGCTGAGTCTGGGTCCTCCTGGAGCTGTTCCCCACCACCCTGTGGCTGGGCCTGGGGTCTGAAAAGATCCTCTAGCATTGGCCAGAGTTTGCATCCACTGAGCCCTGGCTGCTGTGTGCTACTGTGACAGTGTCCATGGTCCCCCATGTGGCCAGGATGGGGGCAGAAAGTCAGCTCCCAGCCTCCATGCGACCTGCTTTTAAAAGTAATTAATTTGGCCGGGTTGGATCTTAGTTGTGGCACTCAGGACCTTTCGTTGTGGTGCACGCACTCTTGAGTTGTGGCTCACAGGCTCAGTCAACTCTGGGGCCTGTGGGATCTTAGTTCCCCAACCAGGGATTGAACCCATGCACCCTGCATTGCAAGGTGGATTCTTAACTACTGGACTANTAGTTGTGGCACTCAGGACCTTTCGTTGTGGTGCACGCACTCTTGAGTTGTGGCTCACAGGCTCAGTCAACTCTGGGGCCTGTGGGATCTTAGTTCCCCAACCAGGGATTGAACCCATGCACCCTGCATTGCAAGGTGGATTCTTAACTACTGGACTACTAGGGAAGTCCCAGCCTCCATGTGATCTTCATGGGATGTTTTGACCACTAGAAGCCACAGAGCGGATGAGAAGCAGAGGAGGAAGCCATGGTTCATTCCTGGCTCTGCTTTATTGGCTACCCCTTGGGGAGGCCCTTCCTGACCCCTGCTTTCTTGATCCCTGTTTCCTACTTGACCACCCGGCCCTGTTCTACTGTTCTTCGTAGCACACATGATGGGCTGACATTATACTGGTGTTCTGGATGATTCTGTCTCCCACCCCTTGGAATGCAAGCCCTAAGGGCAGCATGTGTCTGTCTTCTTCACCTAAGGAAATTCACGTTCTGGGCTCCAGCAGTCTATGATAACTGAGCAATACCCACTGGGTAAGAAGGCAGTATACCACCATGCAGCCCTTCTTCCAGTTTAAAGGATCAAAGACTGGAAAGTATGGTATTTACAAATTCCAAAAGGCTCAGTTCTCTAAATCTCCAGGACCTGAAACAGTGCCTGGCACAGAGTATTCGGTAAAGAGCTATATAAGACAGCAGGGAACACATCAGAGGCTGAGAAGAATATGCCTGAGTCCTACCCACTCTAAACTGGGAAACCTGGTCTTTGGGAGGATAATAATTCTATTTCCTAAAATGTTCTTGGATGCCCTGAGAGATAGTGCCTCTGGCTGGGCATCTTCGGGCCCATCAGTCCTTACCTTTCCTTGGTAGCCACTAAGGCTGGGACAGCGGCCGGGGTGGGTGTGGGAATCGATGGAAGCTCCTCAGAAGCCGGCATGTCGCTGACCTTGTCCTGGGGGGCAGGCGCTGAGAACAGGCCCGACACATTGAAGTTGATATCTGCAGACAGAGGGGGCAGGTCTGAACTTTCAGAGCTTCCACCGGCCTCTCCACCACGGCAGGCATCAGGACCACTTTCCCTTTCTCCTGATGTTATCTAGACTGTGTTTCGCCTTCCTACTCCCAGGTGGGCCTCACAGCAATCCCACAAAGCACGCACAATCATCCCCATTTTACAGATGAGAAACTGAGGCTCGGGGGGAGAAGTCATTTCCTCCAGGCCTCCTGGTGAGTTTGCAGGGCTGCCAGGGACTGAAACAGAGTCTGGAGGGCGCCAAGTTGGATGGATCGTTCACAAAGACAGGAGCTTTACCTCCAGGAAAGAGGGTGTCGGTGTTCTGTATCAGAGCCTCGACCACGCCTACCACCTGGATGGATGAGACCGAGGCTGCATCCAGCTGGGCCAGGTCCCTGGGACAAAAAGAGAGCCAAAGTGAGTCATCATTTAGCAGTCTAGTGACCCCAACTCTCTAGGCCTGTGCTGGGTGCTGGGGACACAAGGATCAATCCTTCCGCCATCCGTGGCCGGGTGAATTACAACCCCTCACATATCACACTTTACAGTTTATAATACATTTCTCTATTTATTATCTCATCAAATTCCCAAAGAAAAAATTCTCAATGTTTGTCTAGTTTCTCTCCAACTTACAAGTAAAGAAATGAAGGTCCAGAGTGACTTTATAAGGTTCATCCCTGGAAGATTGGAGGGGTGAGGCTAGAACCAGATCTCTGGCTCCTGCAACAGGCCACTAAGCACCCCATTAAAGCCATTACCCAGAATGTCTATCTCTGAAGCCCTGTGGGGTCCATGATCCCATGATTCTCACAGCAGCCTTGACAATAGAAGTTGCTCAACCCACTCCAAGGATGGAGAAACTGGGGCCCAGGGGGAAAATAAACAGATGTTGAAACGGGGGGCAAGACTGCCACCTTCCCCCAATCCACAGCCCCTCACCCTTCTTTCTCAGGGGGCCACAGTAGGTTGGGCCCCAGGACAATGGCGATGTTGCTGGGTGTCATCTTGTTCACCTCCTGCTCCTCGGCCAGCTGTGCTAGGAACTTCATCAGATACCTGGGGGGTGGGAAGGAGGCTTGGACCAGTGGCCGGATATCTTAGGCCATGAATACCCATGGATGCCCCCAAGACCTGAGACCTTCCCAACCAACCCAGGGTTTCCAAAGAGCAGCAAAGACACCACATGGGACATTTAAACATTTTTTTACTAGTTACACCAGCCGACCTACTGAACACCACCTCCATTGCGGGCACTAAGTTGCGAACCCCCCAGCCGCCCTACAGAGCTGGGACTGTTATGTTCCATGTCTTCCACGTGAGGGCGCCAAGGCACAGAGAATTAAATTGCTAGCCCAGGACCACAGGGTGGCAGAAGAACGATCTAAAGCCATTGGGTGGGGGTTCAAGCTATATGTTCAGTTCAACAGAGAAGGGGACGACAGAGGATGAGATGGCTGGATGGCATCACCGACTCAATGGACATGAGTTTGAGTAAACTCCGGGAGTTGGCAATGGATAGGGAGGCCTGGCGTGCTGCAGTCCATGGGGTCGCAAAGAGTCGGACATGACTGAGCGACTGAACTGAACTGAACTGAACTGAATAGTTTCTTTGGGTCACAAGCACTCTTGAGAAAATGATGAAGCCTAGTGATCTTGTCCCCAGAAAAATATACACACGTTTCAGGGGGCTGACGATGGACCCCATGTTAAGGATCCCTATGCCTGCTCAGGTGTCTTCTTGGCAGAGGCCTTAAACTAAACTATCATGGGACCATCTCAGGCAGCTTCAGGGGAGGGCCCTGGGGGAAGGCCCTCCACCCAGGGCTCCTCAGTGCAGGTACCTGCCACAGCGTGGGGGTCAGAGCAGAACTCCTGCAGGCTGCGGGGGTCCGAGGCCATGGTCTGCTTGAGGCGCTTCAGCACCGACGCTCCGGCGGCCAGACGGAAGAGGCCCTGGGGGGCAAGAGGGGGGCAAGTGGGGGTCACAGAGGGGTTGGGGTGGGGGCAGGACCCCCAGCGGGAGGCCCTGGCCCACTCACGGCCCAGGGAAAGGCCTCGGGGGCCCCCTGGGCTGGTGGGCAGAGCGAACACCACTGTGTCCATGGCTCCTCTCAACTCTCAAGGTCTAGGATTCTGAACAAAACGAGAAGCCTGGGAGGAGCTGGGAAGTCATGAGGAGACTGGAGTCTAGACAGAAGTGGAGGGACAAGAGGCCCCGCAGGACTGTCCTGAAGCCTAGGTTTGTCTTTGAAGTGTGATCCACCTCCTAAAGGTCTGTCCTCAGGAAAGCAGCCGATGTGCTAGCAGGACCGAGATGTATAGGACAGATAAGGGCAGCATGGGGCTGTGACTCACGTGGCTTCCCTGGCTTCTCCACTAACCTTCTCACCTGCCACTGGGCACGCCTACCCACTGGCCTCTGTCTACCTCTTGCAAAATGGAGCCAATTTTGCAAGAGGTAGGGCTTGCAAAAATGGAGGGCTCCCTGTAAGGTTTACTGGGGTAATGCAATGGAGCAAGGAGTGCAAAGGGTTGACAGCACAGGGCCCGGTCCATGTGAGCATCACTAAGGGGGAGGTGGCATCAGTTCAACCGCAGGAGGCCACGCCTTTTCTTGGCACCTGGGCGCTAATGGTGGGATTACACCCCAGCACAGGCATGGGTGGGAGGTGTGGGCCCAGGCAACGTGTGGGAGGGGTGGGACCGGATGAGGGGCCCGTGCTCCTTCCCCACCTGCCCCAGCGAGCCCCACCTCTTCCTTCATGCCCTCAGAGAGCAGCATCATGACGCAGGCCTCGATGGGCAGGGCGATGTCCCGGCCCAGCTCTCGGAGGTGGGTTCCCAGAGGCACCCCATACACCCTGGAGAAGGGGGCGGCCGTCATCGAGGGGGAGGGGTCTGCAGGGACGAGATAGATCAGCGGCCCAGGGTCCTCCCACCTCTGAGCAGCCAGGTCAGGGGGCTTCCACCTCCCTCCTGACCACCCACAGGACACATCCTGAAACCATCCCACACATCTCTGCAATCTGCCCACCTCCACTGCCTCCATCCCAGCCCAGGCCTCCGTCACTTCCCTTCTGCCTCCTAACAGGTCTCCATCCTGCCCCTTCATTCTATCCTGCATGCAGCTGCCAGAGCAATCTCTCCATCACAAATCTCATTGAGCCCTCCCCTGGACAGAATTCATCTCAGGCTCCCCAGTGCCTTTCGGGATGGAGTGCAAGTTTCTTAACAGGCCCTGAGCAGGGTGGGGGTCAGGTCCCCACCTGTTTGGCTGTGGTTCTCCTTCAGCTCAGCCAGGGCCGTGTCCAGCGAGCTCAGAGACTTGCGATGATAATCGGCCTGAATCTCCATAAGCTGTGGGGACAAGGGGGAAGTGAGGGAAGCGGAGTCTCCCCCAGGGGCCACAAACGCAGACCCTTCCCTCCCACCACCTCGGGGGAGATTTCAGTGGTCCCTGAGCTCCGGGTGGCTGGAGTCTGGTCTTGAACTCACGTGGATGAAGTAGTTGGCATAGTTGTCCTCCTTAGTAGCAAAGTGGTACAGGTCGGCCAAGTACTCATCCTTGGGGACAAAGAGAGCAGGGCTTGTACCAGGGACGCTGGGGCCTGCTGGGGAAGCTTGGAGCGGGTAGAGGTTTGCCCAAGTTGTACGGGAAGGTAGGAGTCCACTCTGCTCTCGCTCTGCCAAGGTTTGCTCCTGGGCCAGCCCACGGGAACCCCTCCGAACCCTTGAGGGGCTCTTCTGTTCCTCTTCTGTGTCCATATATCCTCAGCCCAGTGCTCTGTATCACTCACCACTCTTTCATTCACTCACCCTCCATTCATTCACTCAGCCAACACGCCAAGATTCTCCCCTCCCGCCCTCCTCCCCATCCCCTCCTGCCCAGGTGTTATAGGCATGATACGGACAGAAGCAGCTACCAGGTCATGGCTGAGTACACAGACCCCGGAGCCTGGCAGCCCGGATCCAAATCCTGGCTCGGCTGCTTCCTAGCCACGTGGCCTGGGGCAGGTCGCGTCACCTCTCGTCACCTGTGAAGTGGGGACGGCACCCACCCCCGCCGCCTGCACATCCAGGAAGCCGCCAGTGCCCCTCACCTTGCACTGCTCCACCTTCCTCTTCAGCTCCTCCTCCTCCTCCTTCAGCGTCTCCACCTTGTTGGCTGTGGTGGTGTGGCTGCCCGGGCCGCCACCCAGGCCCTGACCGCTGCCAGAGTTCTTAGCCGCCTGACTCAGCCTGAGGAGCATCCCAAGGTGGGATGGTCACTGTCCCCATGGCATGTCCAGAGCCAAGTGCCCCTCCATCGGCCCGACCCCACAGGATTCTGGGGGTTGATAGACATAAATCCCAGGGCGGCATAGGTCTGGGGTCTCGGCTTGGCGCGGGCACAGCTTTGGGGCGCCCCCCTGGTGGTGGGCTCAGTGATCCTAGCCACACACCTCCAGAGTGGAGGGTGGGGGCCCTCCAGGGTTCTTGGAGGGTTGTTGATGGCTGTCCCAGGTTTTGGGGTTACCTCCAGCAGGCACAAGCATGTGCACAGAGGCCCCCTCGCATGCACCATCACCATATGTCTTCCTAAGCCCCAGGTGTGTGCACAAGGACACACACTGTACCCCTAAGGACCCTGCAGTGTCCTCCTAGTGGGGGAGGGGTCTTGAACCTCTGTGGCCACATCTGTACGCTGACCTAGGCGTGAACCACCCCCCTTGAGGCTGTGGCTCCCACCTGCTCTTGAGCGTGTTCCAGTCGGACACCAGCTTCTGCAGGCTTTTCTTGTGCTTGAGGATGGCTGGCAGCTCCTCCTGGGGGCAGGTGTGGGTAGGAGGTGGGGGTGGGGGTTCAGCAGGCTGCAGAGGTGGGGGCTGGGGGAGCTGGGGGCAGAAGGTGGGGAGGGGGGTCACCTCGCTCAGCCGGTTGAGTGGCTGCAGTACGTCCCTCTCCAAGGTCATCTCAAACTCGGCCAGGATGCGGGCCAGCTGGTTCTGAATGACACAGCTCATCTCCAAGGCCTTCCTGTGGATACAGAACCCAGTGGGCCCGGGCTCCCACAGCTCCTCACCCCCTCTCTGGAGAGACTGAGGGCCTCCTCCCTCCCTATCACCTCCTGTCTCTTCTTTTTTACAAAATTCTTTTGACCATGTGCATGGCATATGGGATCTTAGTTCTCAGACTAGGGATCGAACCTGCAGCTCCTGAATGGGCAGTGTGGAGTCTTAACCACTGGACTATTAGGGAAGTCCCGACCTCCTGTCTGTTCTGTCTCTCCTTCATCTTCACCGAACCCAATGCCCTCCCAGACCTGGCTGCCCTCACTGACCTGGACACTTCCCAGCCCAGGACCGTTCCCCAGCCTGGTCATCCGTCTACAGCGGGTGCCCTCTCTGACCGGGACCTTCTCCCAGCCCAGATCCCTCCTCGGCATCTCCAGCTGAGGGCTGAGGGCCCTGTCCGTGCTCACCCCATGCTGGAATCGGGGTCCAGCTCCTTGAAGCTCTCGGCCATCGTGGTGGACAGAGCCATGAGGGGAAGCTTCTTCTGCAGGGAGGGGCAGGATGGCTGTGAGCACGAGTGTGCATGCTTGCTGGCTGCCCCCTCCCAGAAGCCACTTGACTGGGCAGGAAGGAAAGCCCGAGTCCTGTCACTGGATGGAACACTAAAGACAGGGCACATGGAGCTCACCTGCGGTCCACGCACAGTTAGAGGGGGAGTGGGGAGCCAGGAACGCAGCCTCGGAGTGGACCCTTACCCCTACCGCAGAACCTCTGTTGCTGACCTAGCTTCTGAGGAATTCAAAACTCTCCATGGCTCCCTATTGCCTGGCCATACTGAATGGTTGTCTGATTATAAAACATGCCTCCCACATCCCTAGCTAGTGTTGTGGAGAGCACAGCAGTTTAGGTCAGGGAGACCAGAGTTCAAATCTCGGTTTCGCCACGTACTAGCTGTGTGACCTTAAACGAGTCACTCTACCTCTCCATCTCCATTTCCTCCTGCAGACAGTGCTAATAAAGGCAGCCTCCTCCCATGGCTGTTTTCGGCATTCAGTGAGGCAAGGCATGGACATATCTTAGCAACAGACTAGCCGTAATCAGTCCATAAATACTGGCTGCTGATTAATACTAGTGAGTAACAAAATCCAGTTCAAATGCCGCTTCCTTCAGGAAGCCCTCACAGGCTGCCCAGTAGAGAGCACCTGCTCGGTGCTGACTGGAAAGAGAAGTTCAGGTGATCAGGGGCCTGGCTTTGGTGCAGAGGATTGGTGCTAAGGGGGTGGGGTCAAGAAGGGGAGGGGAAGAAATAGGACCTCATGAGTGAGGGCCCGGAAGGGCCTTGGGACAGAGCAACCTCCACCCCATTGGTGCCGGAGACTCAGACTAGCAGGGAGAACCCAGCCCCAACCTCACTGTCCCACTGGACCGAGATGTCCTGCCCAGGCCCCTCCTCACTGGGACCCCCACTTACCACCCGCTTGTCCATTTCCGCCCCGCTCTGGCCCTGCAGACAGGCCTGCAGCCGTTTGTGGACATTGTGGGCTGCTCGCTTAGCTGGCTCCAGCCGCTGCTCTACCTGGGGTTACAGATCATGGGGGGCTGTCATCCCCCATGCCCCACTGCCCTCTTCTCCCCCAGAGCAGAAACTATCTTTCTCTCGCTCTTCTTGGGGACCCCATGGCCAAGAGCGTGGGAATGACTCAACTCGGGGCCCCCACTGGCATCCCCGCCCGGGCCTCCGAAGACAGCCTGTATGGACCTGCCCTGCCACCCGCTGCCGGCCCAGGCACGTACCTGCTGCAGGTCCTCACCCAGGAACTCTGCAGTCTCCGGGGTGCTGCAGTGGGGAGAGAGCTTCTGCTGAGCGGGCCCAAGTTAGGAAACCCCCTGCCTCCTCCTGCCCCCCTCCCCAAACAGGGCACCTAAACTCCAGTTCCACCCAGTGCCCCTCCCAGTCAGGCCGCCCTGGGTGGCCCGCCTGCTCAATCCCAGTCGGAACACATTCCGTGGGGGCGGGAATGGGATACTGGGCTTTTTCCTCCTCCACCCAGGGCTGTGTCCTGAGACAGGGCGGACGAAACTGAAGCGGGGACTGGAGGAGTCTCTCTCTTCTGCTGACCCGGGGAGAGGAGGGTTGGGCTGGCCCCAAGAACGGGAAGTGTGCAAGCTCAGACTCCCGAGCTGCTGGTCACACAGGACTCTGGACTGTGGTGGCCGGTAGGGGCCCAGGACATGTGCGCACACTGCGGCTCAGAGAAAGGTGGCCTAGCTGCTCACGCTTGCACAGGCATCTGTGCGGGTCTGTGGATACCCAGTCCCCTCCCCTGGGGGGACCCCTGCCCAGCGCAGGGGTAAGAGGAGAGAAGGCAGGCTCTGGGAGCTCCCTATATTTCCGGCCTCCACCCCACCAGCCCAGAGGTTTGTGGACTTGGGGATGTTTCCACCTGAGGCTATGAAAAGCAGAAGCAAGACAGAGAAACAGGAGGCCTCTGGGCTGGCGGTGGCAGGAAGAGGCGCAGGGCAGGACAGGGGCAAGCCCCTCCTTCCATTGCTGCCTGGACCCTGTCTTCTGCTCCACCCAAGTCTGGGTCCCTGAGCGACCCTCACTCCCCTGGACAACCAGATATGGTTAACATCCCCATTGTACAGAGGTGACAAGTGAGGTCGGGGAGGACCATCCACCTGGGGGCTCCTAGAGACAGAGAAGACCCAACATCCTTGATCCTCCTCCACCCACCCTCCAATGAGAGCTGGGGGTTCCCCTGCCCCAAAGGCCAGGGCCTGCTCCTCCTGCTTTGGAGGTGGGGGTGGCTTTCGGAGGAAGGAGGAGAGGTGGCCAGTCCAGCTGGTGGTGGCTGTCCAGCTCTCCTCGGCCTCCCCGGAGTCCTGCCGGGGTGAGGATGGGGCTGGGAGGAAGGAGTTGACACTCACCGTCCCAGGCTGCCCGTGTGGGCCAGTTGCCGCATGCGATGCAGCTGCCTCTTCATCATCTTGGGGGCGGGCTAGAGGCCGCGGGGTCACGGTGGGGGTCGAGGGCCCGGCAGCCCCCGGCCCAGCCTGCCTCGGCCCGCGGCTCCTCTCTCGCCCCGGATGGGTGGGCGGCGCTCCTCGCTTCCTGGGCCAGCCGCGCTCTCGCTGCGGCTCGCTCTCTCCTCCCCCGCTGGCGACTCCGCCCCCGGCCCCCAGGTCACTCCTCTCTCCCAAGTTTGTTTTCTCGCTCTTTTCGCGTCTTCCAGGCCCCTCCAGGCCACCCTCGCCGGTCCCGGCGAGTGTGGGTCCGCCGGCCGTCCGGCGATCCACAGGTTGTGTACGCGGCCCCTCCTCCCCGCTCCGCCCCGCCCAGCCCCGGTGGCGGGAAGCAGGTAAGCCCGTTCCTGCCACCGCGCCTGCCCGGCTTGGCTTCCTGGGTTCCTGCCCCGCCCACTGGCCTGCGGGCCAAGGTATAAATAACCTCGGCACCCTCTTAAAAGAGACACAGGGTTCCATGCTTAGGAGTCAGAGACCAAGAACAGGTCCATCCGGGCTTCCCAAAAGGATGCTGTCCTACCACTCATTTCCCAAAGGACCCCCTGGCCACCTGGAGCCAAAGGTCAGCCTCCTCTCCCCTGCTGGAAGATGATTGGCTGGACGCTTTGGCGTCCTGGGGCCACCTGGCTGTGGTGTGCCTTCGGACCAGTCCCTGGAACTCTGGCCTCACTGCCTCTAATGGCCTGTGGGTCAGCTGTCCTGACCCTGCCCACCTGGAAAAGTGGACGAGATACCCCTTCCTGCTCCTGCAGCACCCATGTTTCTGCTCCCATCGCCCCCTTCATGGGGGTGCCCACCTTCCTTCAGCCACGGCAGACCCTCTCAGAGCAGCTCGCTACCACCCTGCTCTCTTCCGGCCTCAACGTGGAGTTTCCTCCATCTATGAAGTCCCTTCTTTGGGAGGACTTCCTCAGCCCTGACTTCTTGTGAGGCAGTGATTTGGCTGATGCTCTGACCTCCCCAAACTCAGTAGTAGTTATTTCTTTGACCCTCCACCCAAAACAGACTTGGACATACAGTAGATGCTTGATGCATGTGGGCTCAGTCACTTTTCAGTCATGTCCAACTGTTTGCAACCCAATGGACTGCAGCCCACCAGGCTCCTCTGTCCATGGGATTCTCCAGGCAAGAATACTGGAGTGGGTTGCCATGTCCTTCCTCAGGGAGATGCTCCATAACTGCTAGTAAACTCAAGATGAGTGCCTTTGGGAAACACTAGGCTCTCCTTACTCTGAACCTCTGCACCCGTTGGGCATCAAGAGCTCCGAGGGTGGGGGGCAGGGGGCCTGAGGTAGACTGGTTGACTCACTGCTCTCTGTCTTGTTAGAGCTTCCATTCACTTTGAGGGTTACTCGAGCACCTACTACTGTGTGTGAGAGGGCAGACTGGGGACTTCTGAGAGGAGAGCCTCCGATTTGGACATCTTGACACATTCCCAGTGCCCAGCATGGGCCCTGGCACACAGTGGGCATGCGCTGGACACTGGCTGCCCTGCCCCTCCACTCTCCAGAGGGAGAGCAGGCAGGCCCTAGCAAGGTGGGGAGGGGCTGCGAAGGGAAGCTGAATGTGGAATCCTAGCTGGAAGTTGGGAGGTTGTTGGATCAAAGGCTCAGGCCAGGATGAGGGGATCAATCCCAGGCTAGGTTTCCTTGCCTACTTCTCTTCTCCCAGCTGGAAGGCCCCCCATGAGGGGATTCTCGAGGAAGGCAGGGCTTGACAAATGCCTTGATGGAAAGAGACATCAGAGTCCAATGTAGACTTGGCTTCTTAAGATGTGGGGCTGCTCCTTGCAATGTCTGCGTTCTAGTTCTAGCCTCTCCACCTTCGCCACTGGACTTCATGGTGACTCAGTTTCCCCTGTCTCTGCAGTGGTTGCAACCAGCTATATGTAGAATTAAGAAACAGAAGACTCCCAAGACAGCAACTTGACACCAGGTGCCACTGTCCTGGCATCTGGGAAACTTCCAGGCTACGTGGGGCCCCCACCCTGTTCCAGCCTTGCCTTTGGCCCAGACCATACTGGCCTGGACTTGATCACTTCCCCAGCTGTTCTGGAGGGCCTTGAGGGCAAGTCCTGACTTGTACCTCTGTCCTTCCTAGTTTTACCTGAGGCTGAGCCCCCAGCTCCAGCTTAAGGAGGGTTCAGTCCCTGTGGACTGTAGCAGCAGCTGCTGTGGAAACAACTGAGCCATATAATCAGGCCACCTGAACTCTGAGCCTCCCCTCTGGGCTTCAGACTCCCCTCCAACCAAAGCTAAGAGCCTTTGCAGGAAGGGCACCTGGCTCCTCTGTGTCCAGCCTGGGTGGCACTGACATACCTTTTAGCTGGGTAAGGGGTATATTTTAGGGTATATTTAAGCTCGAGCACACTCAGATCATCAACAATCATATAAAGGTTTGAAGCCCTTGTAGTTGGAGCATAAGCTATTCCTTCGAAGGATGTTGTCATCAGAGACTTTCACAGAGGTTTCAATCTGTGAATGTTGAGATCATAGTTTTAGAACTGCATATGTGGGACCACAGAGGTCACCAGCCAATGACTTGCTGGAGTGTCCTCCTGATGAGGTCCTGCGTCTTGTCTGGCTCACACTGAATTCAGGGGCTGAACAACGTGCCACAGTCACAGGAGCCCAACAAACAGCCAACTTGAATGGCAAGTGAAGACACTGCATCAATGGACATTTATTTCCAGCCCAGAGACGGCAGGAACAGAGCTTACTGGTGTGGACAGAGCTGGCTAGCTGGGCTCAGCCTTTCACTAGCAGGGTGACCTGAGCTGAGGCAGTTCACCTTCTTGAGCCTTTGCTCACTTGAGGATAATAATAGCATCTACCTGATAGGGTGTTGTGTTAAATAAATTGATACGTAAAATGCATAAGACAGTGCCTGACCCTGTTTATTACTCAGCCTGCAAAGTCAGGAACAGAAAGATCCTTTAACCCCCATTCCTGCCTCAGTTGCCCCCTTGCCCTCTGTGTCCTGCTAGGTGGGGACAATGGCACTTATTGTCAGATACTCTAGCATCTTCTCCAGTGAGGTTGGGATCATGGGGTTTTATAGGTGAGTAGACCCAGGCTCCTGGCCCACGTCCCTGGCCGGCTAAATGGTAGAAGCCAAGTTAGGAAGCAGATTCGACAGGCTCCAAAACAGCCACGTGCTCTCCTGCTGCGCCAGATGGCACTGCCTGGAGACTCCAGAAATGCTGGTCCCTGCCCGCCCCCGCCTCCCGCCTTAATCCCCGTGGCTGCTTCAGGAGGCTTAGCAGCTTCAGTGCAGATTGTCTGCAAAAACCTGCGACGGCCTGGGAAGCGCCCGCTGCTGAAGCTCCAGCAGGATGTGGGCAGGGAGGCCAGTGGCTGGCGTCGAGGTGGTGGTAGCAGGGGTCAGCGGTGGGGCCACAGAACCGAGCAAAAACATCCCCTTTTAGACACTTGACAAAGTGTCTGTGGCCGGATCGGTGCTGCCCTCCATGTGGAGGCTTTTGCCCGGAGCAGCTAAGCAGGTGGCCGTCATTTCTGCGGCTCCAGAAATGTCCTCAAGCCAAAAGGACTTCCAAGGAAATCCTGGGTGGAGCTGGGGCAGGGACACACCACAGTCCCGACAGCCCTGGAGAGCATGTGCCCTCAACCCTGGCCCTGGGGGACAGCACTTGCCAGTGGTGAGGAGGGTGGTGATGTGCAGTCAGGGTGGTCGCCTCCCAGGACTGCTGGTCACATTTGGGCCCTAACATGTGCCCTCGGGCACTGGATAAGCTCCCCAAGCCTCAAGTTTCTTACTTTCATGGGGCTGGAGGGAGGGGCTGCTTGCTCCAGGCCTAGCGAGGCACCAGGTTAGGCCGGCTTCCCTCTTATCTACCTTGCTGGCCTGGAACCCTGCCAGGGGGCCTGTGGAGGATGCGGGCAGGGGCATCAGGGAACAGCAGAGACAGGCTCTCTGGGCGAGCGGTGGCCTCTGGCTCTCTTGGCTGCTATGAAGGGATGAGCAGTGTTCTGTGCTTTCTCTTAGGAAAGCAGCTGCCTCCAGCCGCACAAAAAGAAGTGGAAGTGTGGCTTTGAGGCCTGGGAAGTCCCACTGCTCCTGGGGTGGAGGGGGGGTCACCCTTAAGGAGGTAAAGAATACTTCCTTGTGTCCCCCTCTCCCAGCCTGAGGGCTCCAGAGGCTCTGGACCTGTCTAGATTGACACCCGGTATTTGGGGATGATGCAACAGGTGGTGGAGGCAAAGGGTCCCCTCCTCTGATTAGATCTGTCTGGCCCCTCAGACAGATGCAGGCTCATGGGGCACCTCCAGCTCCCGGTGGCCATGCTCCTGGCTCAGGGGTCTGATGACAGGGCTGCTCAGGAGGCACTTGGCGGGACGGACAGGCAGACAGCTGATGGGTAGACTGGATCAGGGAAGGGTGGTCCAAAAGTCTGAACAGATCTCCTTGTCCCTGTGATCACTGGAAGTCGACGGCCGGGGGGCCCTTTGGCCCAAGGATTCTTCAGACGGGCCTTACAGCTCACTGAGTCCCTCCCACATTTTCAAACAAGGAACCTAAAGGCCAGAGAAGGAAGCACCTTCTTCAAAGTCACACAGCGAGCCAGAGGTCCCAGGCTCCCAGCTGGCAGTCACACTGGCGCCCAGGCCCACAACCACCCTTCCATGGCTTGTGGAACACATGCTTCTGAAGGGAGTTTCTGGGACCCTAGGGGCATGCTACAGGGAGCAGGGTTTTGTCTCATGTAAAATAACATTCTTCTTAAAAGAACATTCCAAGGAGAGATTATCTTTCTGAGGCATCGTTTAAATGTTAGGCAGACTCCTGCCCAGAGTAGGGAGGCGAACAGAAAGGAGGCCAGGAGCCTGAGGTCACGGTGTCTGCAGGCCCAAACGTGGGATGGTGGTCACACCAGGCGGACCTGACAGGAGGCTCCCGACTGTGAGGAGCTGGAGATGCCGACTCAGAGGCCTTGCTCCCTCGCCCTTCCCGTGGAGAAGCCCTTGGCCTGTGCGTCGGGTGTCGGCTGGCCCGGAGGAGGGCCCTCATTTGCTGAATGGAGAGGAGCACACAGGCTGGGCTGGCCTCCAGCCCTCCCCAAGTGTGCACATGACGGTGTTAGGCGCCCAAATTCAGCCTTGGGAAGCACTGGGTTAGACAAAAGTGAAAACTCTTCAGAGCAGAATTCCCCCCATCTTCTAGGAAAGAGAAGTGGCGGGCAGGCTTCCCCAGATGTCTGTGAGCTGAGCGCAGAGGGAACGGAGAGCCGGCTCCCCGCCACAGGGCAGGCCCCCGGCCACGCCTTTCAACGGCTCTGCTGCACGTTGGTTGGCTCCCTCAGCTGCCAGTCTCCAAGCCACGCCTCAGGCCAGGGCCCCAGCCTCCCAGCGAAGAGAAACACCCCGAAAACCCAGGGGGAGTGTGCTGTCCCTGGGAATGGCACGAGGTCCCTGGGCCTCTGCAGAAAGAGCCGAAAACCCAGGGGGAGTGTGCTGTCCCTGGGAATGGCACGAGGTCCCTGGGCCTCTGCAGAAAGAGGTTGGTGGGCCTCTGCAGAAAGAGGTTGGTGGTGCCTGCGCCTCCGGAGCAGTCTCTGGCAAGGAAAAGCTGAGGCAGGAGCCTCGGGTGATGCTGCGCTGCAGTTGTTTTCGGGCTGAGCGCAGCAAGAGGAAGTAGTGTGTGGCCAGGGGCCTCCCCTTCAGTGTCTGCGGCAGCTGGGGCTCCTGGCAGGCCCAAGCAGCCACTCACTTCCAGCTGGGATGGCTCTGGGCCCCCCACAGCCCCCCGGGTCCTCTCTGGTGACTCAGCAGTGGCCACAGGCCCCTGAGCAGGGCCTCTTCCGGTGCCGGGATCAGGAGCAGCGAGGAGCGGAACTGTGGCCTGATCTCCCAGGAGAGGCAGAGGAGTCTGCGGGGCAGCCCCCAGGGACCTCGCACGCCTGGATCCTTCCTGACTCCCTCTCAGAAGGGCCACAAGAGCAGCTGGTCCAGGAAAAAGGACGTTTTATTTCCATAAATACTCCTGCTCTCACTCACACACCGACCCCACTTCTGCCCATGAATAGATGGGTGAACAAAGCCCAATGAATGAAAGAGACACGCAAGAACTCCAGTGTAGGACCTCCCTTGGCCAGGAGCCCAGGAGCCCCCAGCTGGGGCCACCCCCTGGGGCATTACCTTTGGGCCAGCAGTCACATGACCCCCAGTCTCCCCACCCAGAGGCCTGACAGCAAAGGAGCCAGGCAGGTAGAGTGAGATCCCCAGGAGGACTGGGGGACAGGTGGGGGGCTCCCTGCACTGTGCCCCCTGAGACGGTGACCACAGGGCCACTCAGAGAGAAAAGCTAAGAGAATCAAACCACAAACCCAAGAGTGCAAAGGGCTGGGGGTGCAGGCGTCACCCCCACAGTCACCCGGTTCCTATGGAGGAGGCCTGAGCTGGTCCCGGCTCCAGCACGGCCCCGAGTTATGGCTGGGCCTTCCCATAAGGCATAAGGGACAGGCAGGGAGGAACCCTCCCCAGGCTAGGGTCTGGGCTAGGCCTGAGGCCCTGGCCCTTGCCCGACAGCCATGCTTCTCCCCCACAACCCCAAGTCCTTCCAGGGCTGTGCGGTTCCTCCCTGCTCCAGGCTCCCACCTGTGATGACAGTCCCCACCAGTGCAAACCCAGGCCCAGCCTCCTGCTGGGTTTGGCTCCGTAGGGGAGGGGGCAAGGATGACGGGGGCTGCAGGGGTGAGGGAGAAGCACCAGGCCCAGGGGAATATGGCCGTGGGAACACAGGGTGTCCCAGGCCACCATGGCCTCCACCTAGGCTTGGCAGCAGCCAGTCCTGTAGCCCCTCCTCTCCCCAGCCCTCTCGGTTCTAGAGGCTCCCCCAGGTCTCTGGTGGGGGGAACTGGTCCACGTCACCCATCTCATTGTAGGTCTGGTCGCCCATGGTGAAGAGGAGCTTGTAGCGGAGGCGAACCTTCTCCTGAAGCAGAGATGGCGAAGGCAGAGGGTCAGAGCGGGAGAAGAGGCTGCCCCCACCCCACGGCCACACCGTCAAAGCTGGGCCCCTCACCTTCTGGGGGTTGGCAAGGAGCAGGACCTGCGTGATGGCTGAGGGGTGGACGATGGGGTTAAACGCTGGCAGCTCCGTGCCTGAGGGTGGCTGAAGTTTCACCTTCATGACCTGTGGAGGGTCAGAGGACAGATGGGGACAGCTAGCCCTGGCTTCTTGTCCCCAGTCCCTCAAGAACAAGGCCAGCCTCCTGTCAGCTCCACCCTGAGGGCCCTAGGGCCCTGCCCTTGGGTTCCCTCCTACCCCGACTCCCTGAGAGAGACAGAGACCCTACCCCCTGCTCTGGAGAGCTGGCTCCCCATCTAGCCCCAAATCACCCTGCTTTGAGGAGGGAGGCACACCCATGTCACCTTGGGGACAGCTGACTGGAAAACGATGTTGCGGATGGGCTGGGGGGCGGTGCTCAGCATGGAAACCACCACCACCAGCACATCGGAGCGCCCAGGCAGTGGGTCTCGCGCGAAGTGGAAGAGGACCCGGAAGCCATGCTGGTCATACACGGTCACCGGCAAGATGCTGCCTGGCAGGGGAGACGGGGAGAGGTTGAAGGGGGCAGGGGGCGGGGGCGGGGTGCCAAGCCTGAGCCCAAGCACATCCGATCAGCCCTTCACACCCAGCTGACCCCAGGGCTCGCTGCTCTGCTGGGAATGAATGAGAAGACCCAGACCCAGTGTGCTGCCTTGACCCTGGGCAGCAGTGTAGTCAGGGGTATAGCCTGGGGCCAAGGTGGGCAGGTGGACTTCTAGCATGATGGTGGAGGCAGGACGCCCACCCTGGAATTGAGTCCTAGTCAGGCTCACGCAGTGCCGCGTGGCTGCTCCTGGCATGCTGGAGTAGAAGGGCTGTGCATGAGCTGTGGGCACGCTCTCGCTGTGTGACCCAGGTACAGTCACTCTGTTTCTCTGAGTTCAGGGTCCTCCAAGCTGCTAAGACAGTGTAAGACCACTAACCAGCTCCCAAGGACTGCCCTTGTCATCGTGAGCTTACAAGATGGTGAGCACTGAGAAGACTGGCCAGTCTTCCTCTGTCTGGTCATAGTCTAGTACGGTAAGTGGCCCCTCTTTTGCTCCTGGGCAGAAGCACAGGCTCAGACCTGGGTCTTTATCCCTGTGGTCTTGGAGAGACCCCCCTCCAGACCTCCCTGTGTCCTGGCCCTGCCCTTCCCGGGGAGCGATGCAGGGGCCACCCGTAAGAAGTCCCCTGGAGTCACCCTGGAGTTTATTTATTCTTTTGGCCATGCTGCATGGCTGGTGGGATCTTTGATCAAACCTGGGCCCTTGGCAGTCAAAGTGCCAAGCCCTAACCACTGGACTGCCAAGGAATTCTCCATCCTGGAGTTTCAAATGCAGTTCTGTGATACTCCGGGACCGGTGAGGAAGCTAAGTCCTAGGAAGGGGAAGGGTCTCACCCAGAGCCCCCACCAAGTTGGGCAGGGTTAGGAGGGGAGCCCATCTTCCCACCTGCTGCCCCCGATCTAGCTCCTGACAGCACAAGGTGGGGGGAGGAGGGGGCGCAGGCAGGGAGCTGCCCCAGCTGGGCCGGCCCCTGCCGCCCCGCTGCCCTACTCACTGGGTTTGATGGACTCCAGAGGCACAGTGATGTTGGCCAGGGAGAGCTCGGTGGGCGTGGGCTGCTGCGGAGGCCCGGGGGGCTCAGGGGACACGGAGTGGAGCAGGCCGGCGGCACTGGAGCTGGGCAAGTTGCAGCTGCTTTTATTCTGCAGGTCCCGGAGTGTGAGCCGGGGGGCTGGCTGCTGCTTCTCCCTTATTGGGGGGGATGGTGCATTGAGTGGTAAGTCTTCAATGGCCAGGTGATGAGGGGCACAGGAATGGCTGGGGTCCTTGTGGTCCCTGATGGCTGGCTTAGACACCCCGTCTCTCTGGCTGTGGTCTCACGTTGGAGCAGGCAGCTCGTGCTCCTCCCACCCACTTGGGGGTTCAGGGCCCTCCTTCCTGGCAGCCCTCTGGGTCTTTCTCAGGGGCTGGCAGGCCTGGGGGAGGGCATGTGAGTGGGGCATGGACCTGTCTCTCATACGGTCCATGCCCTGGTGGATGGGCCCTGCGCCTGCCCTAGTCACTGCCGTGTCCCTCGAGCCCCGGGCAGCACTTGGCACGCGGTGGTGCTATGGCCATGCCGTTCGCTGAGCAAACCAGCACCAGGGCCCTTTCTGCTGGGCCCGGGGCAGGGGAGGGTCTGGGCAGGGTGGGCCCTCACCACCGCACTTGCTGCGACTCCGGGGGCAGCGACTGCTGCAGGAGGGTCTTCCCCAGGAGGTCAAGGTCATCCAGACCACTGCTCGCGGGCGGGGATGTCTGCGCTGGGGGCCCACTGTCCACACTGGGGGCTGGAGTCGGGGCTGAGGCTTCCATGCCATCAGACGACTGTCGAGTGTACAAAGGATGCAGGGGGGTGAGGCTGCGCTGAAAAGGTGTTGGGTCACCCGGTGCCGCCCTGAGGCCCCCTCCACTCCTGGCAGGTGACGTCTGGGGAAGCGGTAGAGGTGCAGACGATGTTCCTGCGGGCCTGCGCCCCTCACTCCAGGGCCACTGGTGGCCAAGTCTGATCTGGGGTTCTACTCGAGAAACCATCCCATTTCAAGGACCTCAGAGTCACAAGAAAGGAACAGGGAGCCCCCAGCTCAACCCAAGGAAACCAAAGGCTGAGACCTCAGCGGAAAGCATTGGAAGTAAGGAGAGGCCGGCCCACCTCCCTCCATTCTGGGATGGGTGCCCCCCAGCCCCAACACCCCTGCCCTGGGCCCTCCTGACCACCCCTCCCATCCCAGCCCCCTCAGGCTGCCCGTCCCAGCTGCTCTGCCCCGCCTCGGGAAGGGCCGCTCCTACCTGGAAGCTGTTCCACCCAGCACCATCCAAGCCAGAGAGGGGTGTGGGGTCGCCGAGGCCTACAAGGAAGCGAGACAGAGGGAAAGGAGCTGGATTTGTGAGCAGAGGCAAGAGAGCAGGGGGCGGGGGCTCTGTCAGGTCAGGGTTTCCTGGCTTCCACCCTCCCCCTGCGCCCCCCTCTTCCAAGAGGCTCAGCTCAAAGGGGACAAACCCCCTCCCTGTCTCAGAGGGAACCAGCAGAGAGAAGTAGAAACCGAAGATCCCAAGGGCCCATTCACCGGTCCAAACATGCTTCCTCTCCTGCCGCTCAGAGGCCAACTCAACCACTGAGGTCAGGGTTGAGGTCGCCTTCGTTCGACAGAGGGCAGGTGGGAGCTGGCGAGGGGGGTGGGGGACACTATGTGAGGTCCGTAGACTCACAGATCCAGGTGGCAGGAGTCAGCATCCCGTGCCCGCCCAATGACTGACTCGAGGGATATCCTCTGAGCATCAGAGGGGCGCTGGGCCCAGGCCTGACCTAGACTCTGAGCAACCCTGGGCTGGGCCGCAGGGGCCCTGAGCACACCATGTGGATGATGGCCGGGGCAGACATAAAAGGCCTTGTCTGCCCTGGCATGTGCCAAAAGGTTGGCTGATGGGGGCAAAGAGGGCAGTGGCCCCTCTGGAAGGGGCTGCTCATTGCCTGCTGGTCAGTAGAGGGGGGTGGGTCACCAGCCAGTCTGACCTCTGTCTTGTTTGTAGCAAAGCCTGAATAAGACAGTGAGGGACAGGGAGGCTGGGCGTGTTGCAGTCCATGGGCGGTCACAGAGTCAGACACAACTTTCTGACGGAACAACAAGCTGACATGCTACCTGATGGGCAGAGGTGAGGGAGGCTACAACTGCTGGGCCTCCTCATCTGGACATGCCTGAGACCAAGGCCAACAATGGAGACTATCAGCTCCCACACCCCTGGGGCAGGCACTGCAGACACGGGCCTCAATCCTCAGGCAACCTTAAAAGGAGGGTGTGGGCTTCTCACGCCTCCCTTAGGGATGAGGAAGCAGGTGCTCAGAGGGGTTAAGCAACCTGCCCACGGTCACACCACTGGAAAGCCCAGTGTCTGGACGTGAGCAGAGAAAGGCCCGAAGACTGGCGTTCAAACACAGCTCTGCCACTCAGCTGTGACCCCGGGCTGGTGACAACCTTCCTGCGCCTCGCCTGTAGGGCGAGACAACAGCAGCATCTGCCTCAGAGGACTGCTGCTGCTAATGAATCGGACAATTCAGACGCAGAGGCGCCCGGACGCCCTCTCTGGCAGACGGGAAGCCTGGGCGGCCTGCCCCACCCCCACCCCGTACCCTTCCTGCCTCAGAGAACCGTTCAGGACGAGCCCCTTTGTGGTCCCAGGCTTCCTCCACTGCCCCGAGCTGGGGAGCTGGGCGGCTGCTGCCCTGCCACTTCGGGTTCTGGTTCCCACATTTTCTTCACTTTGAGCAGCAAGCAGAGGAAGCTGGAGGCTCAGGGCTCTGCTGAAGCGCCATGGGGACAGGAAGTGCAGAGCACGCAGAGCCTCTCACGGGGAGGTGGCTTCACTGCAGCCGAGGGCTGGGGGTGGGGTGGGGGCTGGGCTCACACCCCCACCGCCAGGTCAGGTAGCTGCCGCCCAGCACTGGCTGGGCTCTCTCCGAGCCTCCCCCAGCTCCGAAGGCAAAGGGGGTGGGTGGAGGGATTCCGATGCAGGCCTCGGGATGCCCTGCGGTCAGAGCCTCCCAGGGAAGGGGTGATGGCTGACTAGCCTGCAGAGGGGACCTCAACCTGGTCCGAGGTCTCCCTCGTCTCCTCTCCGCACTCCAAGCCCTCACTTCCCTGTCCTGGCTGACGGCTGAGTCAGAGCAGCAGAGAGGTTCCCAGGGAGGCTTCAGAATCGGAGGGCCTCGCCCAAAGCTCGTGGCCCTTTGGGCAAGTAGCTCAGCTTTTCGGAGCCTGGCTCTGGCATCTGTAAACCAGGGGCACTGGCCTCACTATGTCCTGGGCTGAAGGGAGCAGGGCTAAGACAGCAGCGTGGTGGTCCCTCTGGGACCCCAGCCCTCCATCGCTTCTTGGAGTCCATCAGGTGTGGGTTTTACCTCAGAACCAACTCGGGAGAACTCAGTCTGACTCGGCTTCCAAGTCACTTTCCTAACATATCCTCTGAGACGCCTGTAACAGGGTAAGGCTTCCTGTGACAAAGCCCGACCACCTACCTCTATTTTGTCACAGCTTCAGGGCCACGGTGAGGAGGTGGCACTAGGTTCTCTTGCTTCGATGCTCTCAGATGGGGCGGCTGCCCCTGAAAGTTGGGAACTCGAAAACTGTGCGCCCGGCTGGGTACCCCTGCTCTGCCCCAGGGGTGAGCCCGTTTCCCCGCCAAGCTCAGGAGCCCCGACCCTGCCTGAGGTGACTGCAGGCCTGGTCTGGGACCAGCACGGGTCACAGAGCTCAGCTTCCCTGGATCTTCTGGTGCTCAGAGCCTAGAGCTCCCCTTCTCTTCCTCTCAAGGGCGAGGAGATTGCTGATTTTTGCCTGGGTAGCTTCCAATTCTAGGCTCTAACCTGCTATAGGGAAGTCCCTTTGTTTTCTCTTAGGCCGCCAGATCCTAGGTGTGGCTGGCTTATCAGAGGTGGGGCCAGCCTTACCCCTGACAGTAGGACCTGGCATGATCTCCTTCCTTTCTCTGAGCCTCAGCCTCCTCAGCTGTGAAATGGGCCTGATGCCCAACCCCCACTCTCCACAGGACTCGCAGGAGGAGGAAGAGGAGGAACACGCTGACCTGACCACGTTCTGAAAGCTCCCTTATACTCCAGGGGCATCATCCCCCACCTGTAGCTGAGCCTGCCCTGCTCCGGGCCCAGCCCCAGCCCCTTCCTCACCCAGAGACATGAGCTCATCATCAAGCAGGGAAACTGAGGTGCTGGGCTGCTCCGGGCTGGCCTGGTCACCAGGGCGGGTGGGCACGGCTGGGTAGGTGGTGCCTGTCGGAGGAAGATCCAGGCCTGAGAGGTCCAAAAGGGCCGAGGTGCTCCCTGGGGTGGAAAAAGAGAGTCAGGCCAGCCCTGGGCGGAGGACACACAGAGTCCGGGGGTCGGGGAGCAGCCAGCTCCTCCTCCTGGCCACACTGCCCTTGCCTGGGACCTGTTCTCCAGGCCCCTTCTTTGGCACATGGTGTCCCTTCTGCACAGAACATACTTCCTGCTTCCCTAGTACTTGGCGGATTGCCTCTCGTCCTTTAAGGCCCCTCTTAGACTCTGTTGTTTCCGGGTAGTGCCCCCCTCCCACCTCTCCCAACAGGGCCCATTCTAGCCTCTCCTGGCTGTTGCTCTACCCAGAGTGGAGCTGAGCTGTAATGTTTATGTATCAAGCCCTCCCTGTGCACTTTAATCAAACTAAGCCTCAGGATGTCATCCAGGTCCGTACAACAGGCATCAGATTTGTCAAATGAAAGGGAGGCCCTCTTTCTCCAGCCTGTCCTTGCCAGACCCTCAGCCCCCTCCCCTCCGCCCTGCATCCAGACTTCCTCCCCAGCAGCTGCAGGCTTGGCACAGACTCCACCCCCAGCTCTCCCAGTGGGGGCCTCCCCCATCTTAAGGGGCCACTGAGCTCTGGGACCAGTGCCGCACCCCAGACTCTGGCCGGTGGGCCATCCCAGCTCTCCCGCCACCTCCTCACCAGGGATGGAGGCGGTGGTGGCATCGCCGTTGACCTCCTCGCCCCGCACCAGCTGCTTGTACAAGTTGATGACCTGGGTAAGGTTGTCGTTGGCTTGCAGGATCTCCGCTGGAACAGGCAGGAGGGGAGGGGCTGGGCTGAAGGACTGTGGGGGCCTCCGGGGGGACAGGAGCACCCACATCCATCCCAAACCTCGTGGGAGGGGGCGGGGCTTGGGGGCAGCCCATCCTGACTCCTCTGCCTCAGGCACTTCGTGACCCGCCCTCACCCAGTCTCCTCGCTGCCCCCTCCCAGCCCCTCAACACAGACGCGGGCCCTGGCCTCCAGGCCCCCACACTGGCCCTGCTGTCTGGAGACCCCTGTATCTCCACACAACTTCACCCTTTCCTGCTTTCCAGTCTTTACCCACGTCACCTCAAGGAGGCCCTCCCTCACCCTGGCCCCACACCCCCAGTTCCTCCCCTGCTTTTCTCCATGCTCCCTACCACCGCCCAACAAACTGCCAGGCTCACACCCTCAGTTTCCTGTCTCCTCGCATCAGGATAAAAGCTCCTGGGGGATTTGGCTCTGTTTATTTTGATCACTGCCATAGCCCCGGGGTCGAGAACAGTGTCTGGCACAAACCAGGTCCTCCAGGGGCCAGGGCTGAGAGGGAGCTGAGGGGGCGAGCCTCCTGGGTGCACCGGCTACTTGGCACACGGGAGGCGCTCAAGGAACTCCATGACTGGAGGCTGAGATGCTACCTAGACCGCTGCCGGGGAGGCCGTGGCTCGTGTGCTGCCACAGCACAAGGGGGAGACCCTTAGGTGTGGCCACGGGGCCCAGCTCTGCAGGCGCTCAGGCCTCAGGGACTTGCTCTTGGTTTTGAGCTCACCCTTACCAGGAGGCAGCGTCTGGAGGGAGAGCCTCCGGTCCTCCCTGGCTCTGCCACCACTCTGCTCTCTGATCTGGACAGGCCACTTCCCTCCCTGAACCCCAGCTGTGAAAAAGGAACAATTCTCTCTCCTGTGCAGCTTACAGGCAGTAAATGAGATGTCTGCAAAGGAGGGGGCGGGGGGGGGGGCTTGGTGCATAGTCTCTCAGGGTCAGCCCCTCAGCTTAGCTTCCTTCTTCTTCAAAGTGGAGAAACCCAAGATTACTGCTGGAGAAGGGGGGGGCCCCCTAGTGGTAGCTCCTTCTAACAGCAGCTCACCTAAGGCCTCATCGTTGTCCTCCGTGTCACTGGCCAGTCGGAATAGGGTGGGCCGCATGCGCTCACAGCGCTGGTACAGTTCCTGGGGGCAGCAGGGCAAGCAGGTCAGGGCCGGTGGGGGCACTGGGGTGGGTGGGGAGGGCGGGTAGGGGCGGGCGCACCTTCATGAGGTCTTCGCTGCTTCGGGCTGCTGCACCGCCTTGGCTGTGGTTCATCACCATCTCCGTCAGCAGCTTCACGTTGTTGTTCACCTCCTCGATGGCACTCGCCCGCTTCGAGATCTTCTCCATTCGCTTCTGGTCCTGGGGAGGCGTTGGCAAACAGCCCCAGAGAGCCCAGGTCAGGCCCGGACCTGAGCCAGGATGCTGCCCCCCACCACCCTGGAGGGCGCCCACTGGGTGTGGGATCAGCCCCTGTGAAGAGCCCCTTGGGCCCCAGATAGGGTACTCTGGTCCAAAAAGCCCTTGGCCAGCCCTGTGTTCACTCTTCCTCTCCTCTCACCAACACCCTGGACACACAAGCTCATCAGAATCTCCAGGGGTGGCCCAGGAATCTGTGAGTCCAACACATTTGCCAGCTGATGCTGGAGGCCCGGGACCTAGGTCTACACCTGTGGTTCTACACAACCCTCCCGCTCCTTGTCTGTCCCTTGATAGGAGGTACCTGTACTTGAGAGGGAAAGGGAACCTGCGTGGTCACCAACAGAGAATCTAGTGCCAGAACCCCGTGAGGTGTCTGTCAGTGTGCAGCAAGTGGCAGGGAGCTCACAGCCTTGAAAGGCTGCTACACAAGTGACCCTGCTATCCCACACCCTCTCTGCTCACTCCGCAAGCTTCTCCCTTGTGGAATGAAAGGCGGGCTTGTACTGTGCTGTCTGATACAGTCGCCCTCCTTGAAAAGGGCTGCCCTTTCTCTGGGTTGTCAGAGCACACAGCTTACCCTAAGATAGCCCAGAACATCTGCCTCTGTGTGTCTGGACTGCATTCTTTTGATGACTTACCCTTATCAATAAAAAAGATTTCAGTATGTGCCCCCAACACAGGTATACATCCTTATGAAATACACGTATATTCTTCCTTCTCTGTATCCATACTCTGTCTTAAGTACAATAAGGGCTAACTTCCTTCTCACTTTTATAGAAGAGGTACTCAGTCTCACAGAAGCCAGCGCAGGTCGGCTCGGCTGCTGGGAAACGCTTTCTTCTGCGCTTACTGACCCTGGCTCTGCCCACAGAGTCCCCTGACTCGGTCCCTCTTTCTCTGCTGTCACAGCCCTTTAGTTGGGTCACTGCGGAGTTCCACACATACACACAACCCCCCTCGGTGGCCCAGCTCAACATCCCCTCCCGCCACCTCCTTGAGCTCTGGGCTCAACTATCACCTCCTGCACCATCTCCTTGATGAGTTTGTTGGCTGCTCGGAGGTCCTCAGGGTGGGAGCTCTTCAGCAGGCGGGCCAGCATCTGTGAAGACAGAGGGACACGCTGTGATGGCATTCTCTGGGCCTGGCATCCTGTGCTGGCTCCTTTTCCTGGAGGTGGGACATGAATAAGTCACTAAGCTCTCCACGGGGTGGCAAGGATCTACTGACAGTGGGGACTTCCCTAGCAGTCCAGGGGTTAAGACTCCACTCTTCCACTGCATGGAGTGTGGGTTCGATTCCTGGTCAGGGAACTAAGATGCCACATGCCGAGAGGCCGATGAAATAAAATAAATGAATCCTTTTTTTTTTAAAAAAAGAATCTACTGACATCTTGATCTTATGCGGTGGCTGTGGGACAAGTGACATACTGCACATAAGTGCTTTCCAAAGTGCCCGGCAGAAATAAATTCTCCACAAATGGTGTGAAAAATTACATTAATATTGCAAGAGAATTCTTCTGGAAGGAGGTACAGGACACTCAACAGCAGTTACCCTCCGGGACTCAACTGGGTAGAGAGGAGCTTTTTTATCTTACCTCTGGGCTGTCTTAAGTTTTTGCCCATGAGCACATGCTTCTTTAACAAAAAGCTAACAAAATTACCACTGAGAGAGTCACAGACATAAAGACAGGCATCCTGCTGATCAACCTATGAAATGCCCTCAGACCAACCCCAGGGCCACCAGGCTCAGGCCTACGTGTACTAAGTGCAGGCACCATGCGGGCAGCATCAACATGTGTAAAGGCTTACCATCTGGTGCCCACACCCACCACGCAGCCGTGCTCAGTGTGAGCCTCTGATCCAGGGACAGCGCCGCCAGGGGCTGGAATCCGCTGACCCTCAAGGGGCCTGGGGTCCTCCTCCGGCCCTCCCTGAAGCCTCACCTTGGATTTCTCCTCATCTTCAAAGATCACATTCTTCGGCCGTGGTGGAGGAACAGGAAAGGCGGCATCATCTGGCAGCTTGGGGTCGGCCTTCACGATCCCTGCAGCGGAGGGCGGTGGGGAGACTGTCTCAGGGGCTGGGGTGGGGTGGGGTATGGGGGGCAGGCAAGGGTAGGAGGGAAAATGCAGGGCAGGCTTTCTTCAGCATGCTGGTGCTGGCTTTCAGGAGTCAAGGCCTGCTCCTGAACTACCACGCCAAATAGCAGCCGGCAGAGGGCGTAGCTAGGAGCCTCTATTTTGAAACCATTCTATGGGGGGCCACTCTCTGAGGGGAAGACTGACTCAAACCCATCTTCTCTCCAGCCCATCTTGCCTCAGGCAGAGCCATAAAGAGGCCCCATTGACTCTGTGGTCTTGAGCAGTTAAAGGGCACAACCCATGATCTTGCTGCCAGGGCCCTGAAGCTGCTGGAGCCCCAGGGCAGAGCAGAGGGGGCGGTCACCCCCAACTCTGGTGCCTCACCCTGCTTCTTCAGCATCTGGTAGGCCTCTGCAATCTTCACCTCCTCCGGGAGGCCGACCGTCCAGCTGTAGAGAAGCTCCAGGATCTTGTTCTTCACCTTCTCTGATGTCCGAGAGCCCAGGTACTTCAGGGACCAAGGGGAGAGGAGGCTTTGCACTGGCTGGCCTTACTCACTGCAGCCCCAACCCCAGCCCAAACCTGGCTGCCTTCCCAGGACTCCCTCAGAAACCTCAGCCTACAGGACCCTCATGTCCCACCTGACCAGCCTGGCAGAGCTCCAGGCCCTGCCGCTCCCAAGCTGAGCCGGCCCTGGGTGTCCCAGTCCCCTACCTGTTCAGTAAGGTAACAGTAGTGGGACCATGCTGGGAATGCAGAGCTGAAAGGCCCAGAGCCCAGCACCCACTCACAGTCGGCTCATGGAAGCCTTAACCTGGTGACCTCAGGAAGGAGGAGCCACCAGGCTCCTGGCTGACCAGGGAAGGAGCAGGCGTGGGGATGTTTGGCCCCAGGCCCCATTCAGTCTCCCAGCAGCACGCTCGGCTGAGGGAACTAGCTCTTACACTGGTCAACTCCTGAGAAGAGCTGCTGGGTCATTCAGCTGCTCGGGTCAAGTGACAGGCCTGATAGAGGACGGGCGAAAGGGGTGGGCTCTCACCTACCCAAGGGGCACCAAACCTGTTCCTGCCCTAGGGGAGGACTCTGGGGCCTCAGGTCCGAGGCCTGAAGGAGGCCACTCTTGTGAGTGGGGATAGGGAGACCCTCCACTAGACACCTAGGCGGGGCGCCAGGGCAGCCCTCCCTGGTGCCCAGACCTGCCGTGGCCAGGTCTGCAGGGAGAGAGCTCAGACCTGAGCAGCCACATTGGGGAAGCTGCTCTTTCATTGCTGTCATCCCTCCCTAAGTGCCGAGCTGCTCCCGAGTCAGCCAGCCATCGGGCAGCCTGCAGCATTCTTCCTAGAAGCCCAGCTGTCCTGGATCCAGCTGTGTGAAGGGGACCTTGAGAAAGGGTCTGTGCTTGTGCTGGGTCAGGAGGAGGACAGTCACCCTCCTCTCTCCATCTGGGATCCTCGCTGCTCAACCCCCCATGACAGCAGAGGTCTGAGCATATGACAGAGGCACCCACCTTGGGAGACACGACCTTGATGAGCTCATTGAGGAAGCGGAACTTGCCCACCTCGTCATGGAACCTCTTGCCGCAGCTCTTCATGCATGTTTCCAGCACCTGGGGAGGGAAGGTGTGAGGTACGGGGGCCCCTGGGTGGGTCAGAGGAGGCAGCCTCCCTCCCACACCTCAGCCGGGGACCAGAAGTCCAGAGGCCAGCAGTGAGAAGGGAGAAAATGACTTGAGGAAAAAAAGGATTCTGAGGTTCAGAGACCCCTGAGATTGATCACCACCCCCGGAAGACAGGGCCGGGCCACTCTGAGAGCCTGGCGACACCCAACTCACAACACCAACCGAGTCCCTCTGTGGCTTGGCCACATCTGAGTACCACTTGTAAATTACTTTCTTACTATTTTCCTTTGATGGTTTTTTGAAACATAAATAGGCACCATCAACCTCAGCCTTATCCTAAGCCATATGTATGTGAAATCAGAGGACTAATATGTGAGAAGACAAAAAAAAAACCCCACCCAAACCCTAACATGTTAAAACAAACACATAACTACTAAAATGCTGCCTGGTGTTGTCCTGTATCTAGAGGCCATCGACAGGCTGGCCTTGTCGGGCTCCACAATGCATCCAGGAGCTCTATAAACATGGAGATTCCTGGATGCACACACTACAGGTGTTCTGGTCAGCAGGTCTGGAGTGGGGCCTGGATTCAGCCCCCAGAAGATCTGAGGGACAGCTGGAGCTGGGAATCCCTGGACCAGATGACCGAGGGCTTCCTCCCTGCAAGAGGCCTAACTGTGCAGGGTCTGGGGTGGGAGGCCAGCCCACTGGCTCACTGGTTGCCATGGGGCCTTCAAAGGCTGGCACACACCCTTATTGTAGGCCATCTTGGCACAATTCCCTTGGGCTCTAAAAAGGAGCCTGATGGGACCCTAAAAACCTCAGTCTTCCCCCCGACCCCTGGTGCCATCCACACGGTCATGCAACAGACGGCACCGTTTCTCCTTCTCACCGTCAGGGCCTGGACTGCCTCCCACTCCTGCGGGGACTGGATCTTGTGGGCCAACAGCCGAGTGGCAAGTGGAGGCCTGGGGGAGAGGAAGAGCAAAGAGCCAGACTAGTCACAGAGCCCCAGGCACCCTGAGAGTGCTGCCACTCTTCCCCCCGGACCTGTAGTCTGCAGATGCTCCTGCAGGGCACGTGCAAAGGCCCAGCTCCCTCTTTGGACTGACCGGGGCCACAGACTCTGGCACAACAGGGCAGGGCCAGGCAGGGAGCGCAGGCCAGCCACCTTTGAAAAGGCACGAGCTCAGCTCCTTGGCTGGCTTTACTGAGAACTATGACCTGCTGTATCCTTGGTTTGCTGTAGAGACAAGTACCGAGACATGCCCACGGTCTACAGGGGCCCAGCCTGGGAGCAGAAATGACAATATGCCCAGAACATTCTGCTGGGAGAATGATGACATCACCTACCAGATCATAACAGAGACATGCCCACGGTCTACAGAGGCCCAGCCTGGGAGCAGAATATGACAATGTGCCCAGAACATTCTGCTGGGAGAATGGTGATATCACCTAGCAGATCCTGTCACCAGTGACAGCAAGAGCTAACACGTACTGAGTGCTTAATATGCAAGGCGACTCACCTCCATTTTCCTGCCTAAGCTCCTAAGAGCCCCCTGAGACAGGCACCACTATCACCCCCACTTTACAGTGACAGAGATGGAGGGCTGGAGGTATCCAGCACTCGCCCAGGCAACCCCCTAACTGAAGGGACGGGATTCGGGCCCGAGCAGCTGGTCTGGGGAGCACGAACATCATACTGTCCCCATGGCATCCTGAGGTGGGGTGCATCCTTGTGGGGGTGCAGCGGAGGTGAAGCACACTGGGCTGCACTCCCCGAACTTCAGCACTACCTGGGAGCCCGCTAACAACGTCCCCCTCAAGCTCCCTGCCGAGTGGTCTAGTCCAAGCCTGGATGCACCACCAACGGACAGTTTTGACAAGCACACCGTGTGGGTCTCATGCAGGCAGTTCAGGTTCTGCCTTGAGCAGAGGGTACCCCAGCTGGGGAGCATGCAGTTCTCCCCAAACAAGCCCGGGCACGGGTCAGGCAGCCCTGAGCCTCATCAGGTCTGTGAGATCTTAGGGCAACTGCTGAGTCCCCCGAGCCTCAGTTTCTTCACCTGTAAAATGGGTCCAGCAAGGCCCACCTCAGAGGGTGGCACAGAGTGCCTGCTGCCATCATTAATCTGGGAACTCATTAAGAATGCAAACTGGGTCTCAACCCACCCTTGTCCCTGCCCAGGGCCAGGTATGGAGTGTGCATGGCAGGTGCTGAGCATGTGAGCAAAGGACAGGGAAGTCACCTACCCCTCAAAGTCCTCGTTGAGCTGCTCACAGAAGCCGTTGATGCTGGCCCAGTTCAGCTCCTTGTTCAGGGGGTTTGTGGCTCTGTCTGGAGGAGACGAGAGGGCTAGTGCGACCTGGCGAAAGGATACCCCTGCCTCTTTTAGTTCCTGCCCTGGGGTATGACTGAGCACACGGAAAGGCCTCTCCTTGATTCCCTGCCCTAACGGCCCCAAGATCCCAGCGCTGACGTCCGTCAGGTCAGAGCACGGAGGACCTGCTGGCCCCCGGCTTCCCCTCACAGCTTCTCCCCAAAAGGCCCCACATCTAGAGAGTGCTCAGGGGCTGTTCCCTTACTGTCACTTCTACTGTAAGCCTCTCCGCCTGTCTAACCACGGACCTCCTCTGATTCTGCTCCTAAAATGTCCCTGTAATTCTCATGGAGTTCACTCTCAGAGAAGATCTCAGAGGTAAGGGGAAAAAAGCCATAGTTCCAAACACAAGGAGCTTCGCAGCTGCGAAGTGGGCCAAAGGCAGCTAGGTTCTCAATACAAGATGACAGAGGGAGGCAAAAGGGTCACGGGAATTGGGAACCGGGGGAGGGGACTCAGGGAAGGCTGCCCGGAAGGGGTAACACAAGAGGGAGGACCAGGCTGTGGATGACATGACTCGAGGGCTGCATGTGAGAAGAGCCGTGGATAACAGCGCAGGGGAGGGCGTGAGGGGCGTGATAAGGAGCACAGCTCAGGTATGCCTCCTCCTTATCTAAGGTCACACCTGCCCGGGGCCAGCACTGCCAGGACAGCTTGCTCCTGTGTCCCCCCAGACCTGCCCCTCATTGTGGGCCCAAGTCTGCTACTGCATTGCATCCCAGCTGTTTACGTACACGTCGGTCTCCCCCCAGTAAATGAGTGAATGGACGGCGGGCTCGGCGGCAGGCTGGCAAGGGGAGGTTCTGGGGGCATTCAAATCAAGAATGGCTAGTGGCGAGGAAAGGGCCAACAGGAAGGGGTGGTAAACAAGGCCAGACAGAACCGCCTGACCCCCCCAGTGTCGGTCAAACAACAATTAAAGATAAACAACAGATTCTACTGTAGAGAACAGGAAACCATATTCAATATCCTGGGATAAACCATAATGAAAAGGAACGTAAAAAAGAATGTACATGTATGTAGAACTGAGTCACTGTGCCGTCCAGCAGAAATGAACACAACACTGTAAACCAACTATACTTCAATAAAATGAAAAAAAACAACCAAAAAAACACAAAAAAAACTATTAAGTAGGTCACAGAACGTTCCCGAACGTCCATTTCCCCATTTGCAAAGTTACGGTGAAATCAGGAATGATTTGGGATGACAACATACTCTACCCAGGGAGAGCGGTGGGGACAGCCAGAGCTGGCTCTCCGTCACCTCCCAGCCTGTCCCATCGGTTCCGCCCCAGCCTGAGGACTGAGCGGGGGCCGTGGAGGGAACAGCCCAGGAGGTGGGACGCAGAAGGACCTGTGGCCAGGGGCAGGTTGGGGACTCGGCATGTGGTGCCTGCCTATTTGGGGTCCTGTGCTGTGGTGGGAGGCCTGGCGCCCTAGGGTCTCAGAGCCTGGCAACCAATCATTCAATTCATATTTATTCAATAAATATTTTGAGTGTGGGCCTGCGACAGTGAACAAAACCCCCATCCTCCTGGAACTCAATAGCTCAGCATAGGAAACACTGACTGCTCAGACAAGCAACCAAACACGGTGCTGTACACTGCTGCAGAGTGCTGTTAAGAAAAACAGAGCATTTTCTAAAAAAAAAAAAAAAAAAAGGAAAAGAAACTCAGAGAAAAGAGACGGTATAGACAGTGTGAGTGTTTGTGGGGGTTACTGCTCTCTGCGAGGGCCCTCAGAGGTACAGCTGAGCGGAGACCTGAACGGAGCATTTTCCCTGTGCACACGTCTGTGTTCTGGGAGCCCTGCAGAGCCCTCCAGTCCCTGGGAGAAACGAAGCCCCTGCTGACCACTCAGGAATACCAGAAATAGCTGCCCTCCCCCCCATCAACTCTGCCTCCCAGTCCTACAACATGGACAGAGCCTGGGGAACATCAGTCTGCAGTTAGAAAGATAGAATGGGGCTGGATATTGCCCACTTAGTGACACCCAGCTGGGGGAACCTAAAACAGGAAGTCCCTAAAAGTGTCAAGAGACACGTGAGTCTGAGTGAGGACATAGTAACTGGTTCCAGAGTTGCTCCTAAGTCGGAAGCCAGGGAGGATGAAGCAGGGCATCACGGGACATCTTCTCTGCATCTGGTTCAGAGCAAGGGCCTCTGGGTCCAAGAGATCTGACCAACCTCTCTGGGCCTGGCCCTCAACTCCTAGCCCTCTTAGCTTGTCCTGGGGGGACCACTTCCCCCAGCAGGCCTCAGGGCAGAACACCCAGGGAAGGAGGTGTTTCACAACAGGGCGTGACTCCACTTTGCCACTCTACAGTGGTGACAATGTCATATTTTACCCAACAAAACCTACTCTTCACCCCCAATCACTGCAAGGGAAGAGCTTACAATTTTGCTAGGGTACTAACAGGAAGAAAAAAACATCCTCAGCTCCAGTTTATCAGAGTCCAGCCTCCGGTCTGCTGCTCAGATCAAACTCCCTGGCCTCTCAGAAAACGTCCACTGTTGCTAAACCTGACACCATTCTGTACCACCCATGGCTCAAGGCCTGCGTCCAGTCAGATCTGTCAGTCAGGGCCCTGCCCGTCCCCCACTCCCAAGTGATTGTGGAGACCTGGACACTTGTGGCATTCCAGAACAGTCTCGATGGCCGCTGAGTGCTTCCTTTCCATGCCCTCCCCCTCCACTGGCCAGACTGACTGTGAAACATCCCTGGAGATGGTCTGGTTCTAAGATTCAACGCTGCAGAAGACTGGCTTAAAAGGGGTTGCCCATAATCCCAAATCACCCTGTGCGGCTCCCTGGTGTGCCTGGGACCAAGGGGCTAAGCTGAGGGTGGACCCAGAGGCCCTGGAAGCCCAGAGGCTTCCCTGAGGCCCTGGTGCAGATGTGAGCAGAAAGAGCTGTCACTAGTCCAGGGAGAAGCAAGCTGCGCTCTCAGGAGCAGAGTCCAGAGTGGGTTATGAGAGGCGAGGATCTTCTGCAGTGTGGGATAGGGAGGTCAGGTGGGCCATGCGAGGGGGTCAGCACTCGGAAGCCTAAGGAGTGGGAAGCTGGGTCTGAGGAGACACAGGAAGGGATGAACGGGCCTTTGGAGGAAACTCGGTGAGAGGTAGGAAAGGAGCCTGTGGTGGGGGTGCAGAAATCCGAGGGACTGAACTGAGGGTAGTGATAGAGAACTTGACATTACTTCTGGAGTCTGAGGCGGGACCCTCCCAAGCCTGTGGAGTTTAGGGGGTTCTATGTGGCCAGAACTTGGGGGGATTCCATGGGTTAGTGGGTCCTACCTTCTTGGGTGGGGAAACAACCGAATCTGAGTTGCAAGCTCAAGGAACAGACAGGAGGGAGTCCCATCAGGCACCGCCAGAAAGTGGAGGATTCGGGGCTTTAAGGGGAACAGGGTCCCTCCCTCCGGTGTGTGGTGCAGCCCTCGGCGACGCTCGCCTGCTCCCTCCCGGGGTCCAGGGAATGACTTGGGTGTTCGCTTCGCGGATAAGTCTGGGCCCGAGGAGGTTGTAGGCTGCGCTCTGCATCCCGGGAGTTCTGGGCGCCGAGCTGGGGGCAGCTCACTCCGCCCCGGGGGTCGCGGCCCAGGAATCGGAAAGATGGGTGGCACTCGCTCCCACTGCGGGTCCATGCAGCTGGTGGGGGTCTCCCTTCTTCATCCCAGGGTCTGAGGTATGGGTTTTGGGACACCGCCCCTTACCGGGCCGGGGGCGGAGCGTGAGGAGGGGGCGCCCTGTACCCCGCCCCCGTCGGGAAGGGGACCGCCTAATGCCCCCGGTTCCGGTTCCGGTCCGGCCCGCGCCCCTCCCGGACACTCACTGATTCGCGCCTCCAGAGTCTCCGGCTCCATCGCGGGCTCCATCGGCCACGGGCCCCCAGCCTCGGCACCGCCCCCCGCCCCCCGCCGCTCTCGCGGGACCTCCTCGGCACCGCCCTCCGCTGATTAAAGGGGCAACGTTCGTCCCGACGCGCTGGGGCGGCGCGCAGGAGCATTCGGCACCATAGAGATGAAGACGGACTTGCCTAGAGCGTCACCTGTTCGCCCAACCCCTCCCCCAAGCAGCGTCAAAGTCGCGAGAGCGACTGGCCTCCTGCCTTGTTCAGAGCGCTCGGGAACGAGAGAAAGCCGAGGGACTCGGGGCTGAGGGTTGCACCATGGAAACCCTGCGGGACGCTCTAAATCGCTGTGCGTCAGGGAGAAGCCTATGACCGCTTCCGGAAGAACGTTCCGGGGCCATGTTTCTGAGGGGCTCTGAGGTCACTTCCGGATCCCTGAGCGGATATTCCGCTTAGCTGCACAAGTGGGGTGGGGCGTCCTTAAAAGGGCAATGGCGTCTTGGCCGCTGTGAAAATGACGTTTGAGCGCTTACAGTGTTCCAAGCACTGTTTTTAAGTGCTGTTTAATGATTTGCTATTTCTCACGACATGAACCAGATAGTTTGTCTGAGATCACACAAGTGGCAGAGCCTGAACCCTGTACTATCTCCTGCATTCATTCTGCAATCAGTTCATGCAGTCTCTATTCGCCTTGCTCTGGGACAGGCGCTGAAACGGAAAGACAAGGCCAGATATTACACAACGTGATGGGGGAAGCCCAGGGTAATGGCAACACAGGAAGGACCCCCTTACCCCAAACTAGTGCGGGGATTGGGGGGGGCGGGGTGTCTTGTCAGGAGGTTTCACAGAGAAGTAGCTAAAAGACAGATTTCTCCCAGTAAACCTGATGTAGAAAGGTATTCCAGGTGGGGGGACCCAAACGTTTCAGGACTCACAGGACAGAAAGAGGATGAAGAGGTTAAATAATTCAAAATATTTTAATACGGCTCCAGAGGATGTTGGCCTGGATATAGGCTGGGCCAAGATCACGCAGGTCCTGCGTTTAGCTTTTTTTCTTGTAAACTATGCTGGGGGTGTCGTCAAAGAGTTTCAACGAGTGGTGATGACAAAGTCTTTTTGTTTTAGAGAGGTCCAGGCGGCAACAGTGAGCGAAAGACAGTGACGGGTGCTGGACTGAAATCAAGGAGAGCGGAATGAACAGACTTCCTAGGCTCGGTGCCTTTTCTGCCGTTTCTCCATCACAGACCCTCTTCATCTGCTTTTTCCCACCCGCGGCCAGAGGGAGCCCGGTTTCCACGGTCACCCGGATCCGTCGCCCCCTGGCGGCCATTCGGGGAACTGACCCATGGTGTCCTCTCAAGCCTCCCCGTCTCCCGGAGGGTTAAAGAGGAGACCGAAACGGAATCTGACGATTCCGGTTCTACTTGGCAGTCGCCCTGGCAAGCGACCTCGATTCACCTTGCAGAACCACGGTGACCTCATCAGGGAGTTGCGAGGCATGTGCTGGGTCAGTTTTTCCCCTAAACTCAACCATTCAGCAGACTGGGATGTTTTTTAAGATTCTCCCCCACAGGCCATTAAAATTGTACAGAAAAATGATACGTATGTTTATTACATTCCTCGATAAAAGCTGTAACATAAAATGTGCTTAGAGCTCTTTTCCTTTGTTTTTTTTTATTACTGAAATGAATTATTACAGAAATAAAATGCAACTGCACTTAGCACATTGATTTAAGGGTATATACACGCTGTCAAGACTCACTTTTTAAAGATAGCATAGATCTGACCAAGGTTCAGATTCTGACTTGATTGCTCTCTAAACTGCGTAACCTAGGACAAGTCACATAGACCCCCTAGATGTCAGGCTTCTCATCTGAAACTTGGTGTGAGAATTCAATGGATGGGTGTCTGCAAAATGAATCCCCAGTACATACTCTCCACTCACTTTCTCTGCTGAACTTTTCTCCTTAGCACTTATTTCCACTGTCTATTTCTTTTTTTCCTGTTGTGTTTTCTGTCTTTGGAATGTAAGCTCTGTGAGGATGAGGAATCTCAGCTATGTGGTTCACCCATGTATCCTCAAGGCTTGAAAGAGTGGCTGACACATAGGTGTTCAATCAACACACATTGAATAGGTGAACGAGTTGAAACTATTATTCATAAGCTTTATGGATGGAAGGATGAAGGAATGTGCTCTGCATTGCCCAGGGAGTGAATGTGTGTGTGTGTGTGTGTGTGTGTGTGTGTGAGGGGAGCCAGATCCTACTTTTAATGAAGGGTCTAGGCTTGCCTCACTAAGTCCTGGAGAGCAAGGATTGGCAAGGGAGACAGGAAGTGACTGTGAAGGTAAGGCCTGGGCCCAGACTGGGGGTCAGCATAGAAGCTGTGGAAGGTGAGGATGGCGAGGATGGTGAAAGGAAGGAGGACCAACACAGGACACAGGACATGCAGGAATTGGGTCTTTGGCAGCTGTTCTCATCTTCACCCTTTGCAAATGTGTTCCTCTAAGTGACTTGGGGAACCCCTAGGAGGGGATGGGCAAGAAAACCTGAGTTGTCCATGAAGCAGCTATAATCAACTAACCCAACTGTGGTTTTCTCTGAGGTGACTACCTATGTCAAAATCCCCTGAGGAGCTAATGTAGAATTCAGGCTCCTGGGCAGTTTAAGTAGGACTCTGGGTGTATGGCCCAGGAATTTTCAGTCCAAGGTTAGCCTTATCGTATGCTCAGTTCACCCCCCTGTTCCCTGAATCCCGTTTGCCTGCTCTGGTTCCTCAAGGACCTTAGATCCAAGGTGTGCCCATCTAGAGTAACACAGACCCAGCCCGATGGTCTGACTTTGCAGTGTGGACAATCAGCTGCAACTTAGTGAGACTCTGGTCCCCTACGGCCCCCTGCCCCAGATCTTGGTAACATCAGCCTCTCCCAGCGGAGCTCAGATATACCAGGTAGGGTCACACTTGCTGTGTGACTGAGTTGTGTGCCAACAAGATTGGAGAATAAGGGACTGGGAACTGAGAGGTCTGAGCAACCCCATCCCGGCTCCCATTCCTCTAAGCCATATCCTTTACTAGCGGGTAGGAAGAACTGGTTTTTACAGGAGGGTGTGAAATGGGTGTTTACAGGAGGGTGTGGAATGGGTGAATTTAACTCAGATGACCATTATATTTACTACTGTGGGCAAGAATCCCTTAGAAGAAATGGAGTAGCCATCATAGTCAACAAAAGAGTCCGAAATGCAGTACTTGGAATGAGTTAAAAAATGACAGAATGATCTCTGTTCATTTCCAAAGGCAAACCACTGCATATCATGGTAATCCAAGTCTATGCCCTGAGCAGTAATGCTGAAGAAGCTGAAGTTGAATGGTTCTATGAAGATCTACAAGACCTTTTAGAACTAACACCCAAAAAAGATGTTCTTTTCATTACAGGGAACTGGAATGCAAAAGTAGGAAGTCAAGAAACACCTGGAGTTACAGGCAAATTTGGCCTTGGAGTACAGAATGAAGCAGGGCAAAGGTTAATAGAGTTTTGCCAAGAGAACACACTGGTCATAGCAAACATCCTCTTCCAACAACACAAGAGAAGACTCTACACATGGACATCACCAGATGGCCAACATTGAAATCAAATTGATTATATTCTTTATAACCAAAGGTGGAGAAGCTCTATACAGTCAGCAAAAATAAGACTGGGAGCTGACTATGGCTCAGATCATGAACTCCTTATTGCCAAATTCAGACTTAAACTGAAAGT